TACATTTTGTATAATTTGTTTGATAAAAAAAAAAAAAAAAAGTGAAGTATATATATATATACATATATTTTAATAATAAATAATAGTATTATTTATATGTTGTTTTCTTTAATACATATAGTAATAAGAAGTTATTACTACAAAAATTTAAAATTAAGTTCTTGATTTTAGAATAAATATATAGTTTATATTTTTTTTTGCAGTTTTTTTTTTTTTTTTATTTTTTTGCTCCAATTAAAGAATATATATCTAAATTTTGAAAATTCACAATTCATTTGATAATTTTGTTACAATACTTAGAATTTAATTAAATAATAAAAAGTATATGTGTTATTCAATAGATATATAATTGATTTCTTATTTATCTTTTTTTTTTTTTTTTTTTATGTAAAATTAAAATTTTTTTTATTAATAATATATATATATATATATATGTACATTTTTTTTTTTTTTTTTTTTTTTTTTTTTTACACACACCTTTATAATATAAAGTGTGCTAATTTTTAAAGATACTTTTTGTTTATTTGTTTATCTTTTATGATACATTTTATTCTTTATTTTTTTTTTTATAAATTTATTTATAAAAAAATCCATTTATCCTCAACATAATAAACCTTTTTAATAATGTGTAAATAAATATATATATATATATATGCATGTATTATGTATGTAATAATAAAAAACATTCTTAAAATAATTTCTTGTAGTTTTTTTAAAAAAACATTCAACATCATTAGTTAAAAATATACATATGAAAGTGTTAAAAAATTTCTGAAGTATCTTTATTAATAAAGAAAATGTATTAAATAATGATATTAAAAAAAAAGTAGAAAACTATATAAAAAAATGTTGAAAAAAAATACTATAATTAAAAGGTCATTAAGCTTATTAAAGAACTTTATATTTTTTTGACAAGATAAAATTTTGGGAAGAATATAAAAAAAAAAAAAAAACTTAATTTTCCTTATTTTTTTTGAATTAAAAAAAAAAAATAAAATAATTAAGTATTTTATATTTTATTTTATTTCTTTTTTTGTTTTTCTCAATTATATAACAAAGAAAAAAAAAGAATAGGAAATGGAATATATTCTATAAATATTAAATAATAAAAAGTTTATAATAATATTGAATTTTTTTTTTTTTTTTTTTTAATTTTATAACAAAAAAAAAAAAAAAAGAATAGGAAATGGAATATATTCTATAAATAATAAATGATAAAAAGTTTATGATAATATTGAATTTTTTTTTTTTTTTTTTTTTTAGTAGAGTAAAATGTTAAATTTTAAAAATATACCATTATTGTTTTCAAAAAAAATTTATGGAATTAAAACTGTGAATATTAATTCCATTTATAAAATAAATAAATTAAATATTAATACTTTAAATAAATTTTTAGATGTTTTAGATTTTGAAGAAGAAGAAGATATTGAATATACACGTATTGATGAGCTCAGTAAATATATTGAAACAGTTAAAATAAACGAGGATATTTTTAATAAAACTAAATATGTTGGATATGATTTTACAGATACAAATAATTTTTTTGATAAGAATGGTAATATAAAAATATATTCTAAACAAGATACAAATAAAAAAGATGCAAAAGAATACATTCATGTTCCACCTTTTGTGTTAACAAAGTTATGTGAATATGCATTTAAAGAAATATTATTTTTTTTAAATAAAAAGCATTTAAATCAATTACAGAATATATTATATGATAAAGAATCCAGTAAAAATGATAAATATGTTGCTATGACTTTAATAAAAAATGCTGTTATAAGTTCAGAAAAGCTTTTACCAGGTTGTCAAGATACAGGTACTGCAATAATTTTAGGAAAGAAAGATGAAGAGATATTAACAACTTATGACCACAAATATCTCAATTTAGGCATTTATAATGCTTATAAAAATAACAATTTCCGTTATAGTCAGTTATCTCCTTTAAATATGTTTAACGAAGTTAACACAAAGAATAATTTACCTTCTCAAATAGAGATATATAATAACATTAAAAAGGAGAAAAAGGAAAACAGTAATTCATGTATAAACGAAAAATTAAATAAAGATCATCGAAATTATTTATATGATGGCCCGAAATATGAATTAATATTTATAGCTAAAGGAGGTGGAAGTGCAAATAAAACTTTTTTGTTTCAGCAGACAAAAAGTATATTAAATGAAGATTCTTTGTATAATTTTTTATTAGATAAAATAAAAGAAATAGGTACATCTGCTTGTCCTCCATATCATTTAGCAATAGTTATTGGGGGATTATCAGCTGAAATGAACTTAAAAATGGTCAAATTAGCATCTTGTAGATATTTAGACAACATAAAAAAATATGGAGGAGAATATGGAAAAGCTTTTAGAGATTTAAAAAGTGAAAAAATAATTTTAGAAAAAAGTCAAAAATTAGGTATAGGTGCTCAATTTGGTGGAAAATATTTTGTTCATGATGTTAGAGTTATTAGATTACCAAGACATTCTGCATCTTGTCCTATTGGTATAGGTGTTTCTTGTTCAGCTGATAGACAAATAAAATGTTTTATAAATAAAAATGGAGTATTTATGGAAAAATTAGAACATGAACCAATTAAGTATTTACCAGAAATTACATTTAAAGATTTAAATCAAGATAATGGAGTAAAAATAAATTTAAATCAAGATATGGAAGAAATATTAGAATGTTTATCCAAATATCCCATATCAACTTTGTTACTTTTAACGGGTAAATTAGTAGTAGCTAGAGATACAGCTCATAAAAAAATTGTTGATCAATTTATTAACGACAATATACCAATACCAGATTATTTTAAAAAATATCCTATATATTATGCAGGACCAGCAAAAAAACCAGATAATTATGCAAGTGGTTCATTCGGTCCAACAACTGCTGGTCGTATGGATGTATATGCTGAAATTTTGATGAAAAATAAAAGTTCATTAATATCATTAGCTAAAGGTAATAGATCTTCTGTAGTGAAAAATGCATGCAAAAAATACAATGGTTTTTATTTAGGAAGTATAGGAGGCCCTGGTGCAATTTTAGCTAAAAATAATATTAAGAAAGTGGAAGTTATTGATTTTAAAGATCTTGGAATGGAAGCTGTACATTTAATTGATGTAGTTGATTTTCCTGCTTTTATTGTTATAGATAATAAAGGGAATGATTTTTATAATCAATGGATACCATAATAAAATTTAATAATAATATAAAATAATAAGAATATATAATATTTATTTTTTAATAAGTGTAAAATAATATGAATAAAGTAAAATAATAAAATTTTATAATCATACAATTATTATTTTCATAATTAATAATGTACTTATATATAATATTATTATTCTCATTTTTTTTTTTTTTTTTTTTTTTATTAAAAATATAATTAAAATTTTGTTTTAGATTTACATAATAGTTTATATATAACTAATATTATATACTTCATGTAACCAGGAAAAATATTTTGTTTACTAAAATAGAAAATAAAAATATATTACTTGTATTTTTTTTTTTTTTTTTTTTTTTTTCTTCTATAGCATTAAAAAAACTACTGTTATATAAGTGAAGTAGAATATTGAATATTAAATAATGACATATGCTATTTATTTTATTTATTAAAAAGAAATATATATATATATATATATAGTTATTTGCATTTGAATAATTAAGTACTTATTTTATTATTCCTTTTTTTCTTTTTTTTATGATAATACATTTTTGTACTTTTATATAAAAATGTATTTTTTAATTATAGTTTTTCTTTTCATTTTTTAGGATTTTCAAAGCCTTGTTCTATCTTTTTTTACAGATGTAGATGTATAATTTTTACTGTTTATAGATGAAGAGGTAGACTTAAATGAATTTTTAATATTTTTTTTATTTTCATATGTTTTGTTTTTTTCATCTATATCCATTTTAGTATATTTAATATTTCTACTACTTTCTTTTGTATCTTTTTTGTTTTTTAATATTTTTGATTTCATATTTTTTTCTGAAGTATTTGGGATATTTTTTTGTCCATCTTCTGTTATGTTATCCTTGTTCTCAATCTTCAAAGTAATTTTTTTAATATTAGGATCTTTTTTATTAGGTGAATATATTACTTCTGATTTTTGAGGAATTTTCTTTTTCACTACAATACTTCTTCCCTTTATCATTGAATCATTTTTAATTTTCTTATCATTTTCTATTTTATATTTATTTTTTTTTAATAATATGCCAGTATACATATCCCTATTGTTTCTATTTTCAATATCAAATTTAACTTTTTTTACTTGATCACTAACTATTTTATAAAAATCATAACATAATATCCTTTTATTTATAACCTCATTAATATTTATGTTATAATTACAATCAGAAAATTCTTTCTCTATCTTTTTTTTTGTACTAAGAAGGTAACAATTATTTTGGCTACATTGTTTATTTAATTGGATGAAATTATAGGAAATGGCATTTTTATTAGAATAATTTTCTTCATCTTCTTCTTTTACATATATATTATCTATCTCTCTTATATTTTCATTTAAGCTTAATTTTTGCCAAAAGTTACAAATAAAACTTCTATTAGAACATTTTGTTACAGTATGTATAAGTTTCAATAAATTTAATATCATTAATCGTAATGGAACTAAAAACTTATCATAATTATTTGAATAACTATAATTTATATTTGCTTTTGAAATATATTTACGTAAGTCTTCATATTCTTCCTCTTCTTCTTTTTCTTCCTTTTCCTTTATTTCTTTATTAAACATAATTTTTAAATTTTTGAAAATAAATAAAATTATTTGAATAATTATAGAAATATCTTGATATACAATTAAATTGTAACTATTTCTTTGTAGTTTATAGATTATATCTATTATATTTTTTGTTTCTTCTTGTAATAAATAATTGCAAATCAAAAAAATGTTAGGATACATATAATTAGAATCGATAAAAAAACCTAGTTTATTTAAGTTATCGGTTTCATTATATTCATTACGTAAATTGTAATTATATATATCATTTTTCATATATAAACTTTCTTCCTTTTGATTACATAATAAAATCATTTTTAATTTTTTATAATTATTTATCCCCTCTGTTTTTTTAATTGACTTGTAGAATCCTTCTAAAAAGTCAAATAAGTTTTTATTTATATACAAAAAATAGTATGTTAAAAAAGAGGTATTAATGTTAAAATTTAGATTTGAAGGAATATAAAAAAAAGATTTATCTTCATTAAACACTACTGTTTGCTCAACTCCTCTCTGTAAAATTTCGTTCAAATATTCATTATACTTCTTATAAATTTCGTTTTCCTCTACTTTCTTATTATAGACTTTTACTTTAGAATAAGATATAAAATGTTCACATTCAAATATGATCTAAAATAAAAAAAAAAAAAAAAGGAATATTATTTAAAACATATGTATTATTTTGCACATTTTAAAAAATGATAGAAATATAAAGATATAATTAAATATACAAAATAATATTCCACAAAAATTAATTATTTGATGAAAAAAAAAAAATTTTCTTATTACATACATTAATAGATTAAATACCTTTTTTATCCATTTATTTAAAGCTAGAAGAATAAATAAGTACATATTTTCTTGAAAATTAGATTCAGTTAATTCAAATTCTTCAATTATTTTATATAAAAATTGAGGTATATTATTCACTATATTTTTTGCCTTATTTAAATATTTATTTATAATCAATATTTCTTTTAATTTTTGTGATTCTTTAAAAAAATAATTTTCGTTTAATATTCTTACCATATTTTTATAATCATCTTGGAAAATATCACTTTTCTTTTTTGTTTTTTCTTTATCACATACTTTTGCTGATAATTTCAATTTGTTTAAAAATTTCTTCCTTTGCTCATTTGCATTCTATTAAGAGCAAGAAGAAATAAAAAAAAAAATAAGACTTAATAAAAAACCTCATAATAAACATATTTGATAACTATTCTTTTTTAAAAAAAAAAAAAAAAAATAGTTAAAGATATAAACAAATATATATTTCATATGTAAGCTATCTTATCAATTTTATATAGTTATATATGTTTTTACTAAGTAATTATCATTCTTTATTATTGTAGAATAATTTTTAAAGAATGTATTTTTGTAATATCTCAACTTATATAAAGCTAATATGTTATAAGGTAAATCAACTTTCAAATTTGTATTAATTTCATATGTATTCTGAGTAAAGCAAAAGAAATAGAATAAGTTATAATAAGAATAAAAAGAACTGATAAAATATATACATATATATATATATATAGTATACTTTAATCAAAATAAAAATAGATAATACATATGAATATATTAAGGAATATTTTTTTTCTAATTATATTTACTTTATCATCTTCTTCTACATCTCCTTTAAATTTTATATTAGTCTTAGTAAGTTTTGAAGCTTTTTTTAAATTTTCTTTTATTTCTATGATATTTTTTTCCTTGCAGAAAGAAATATATTAATTAATATAATAGATGAATGTATGTCCAATTATACATTATATAAATTAAGAAACAGAAATTATTCTATTTTTATTTATTTTTATTCTTTAAATATTCTAAAATTATTTCTTAATTTTAGTATTATATAAAAAAAAAAAAAAAAAAAAAAAAAAATTACAATAGTAATGCATTCCTATCTAATTTATAAGACACTTATAATAATTGTTAATGAAATTGTTATATATGTTATTCTAACATCAATATAACAAATATATATTAATCTTTTACTTGTTCTTTTTTTTTTTCCTCATTTTCTTTGAACTCCATAAAATTTTTATGAACGGAATTATAAACATTTTGTTTATACATAAATATAATTTTATTTATTAATAGGTTATATTCATAAATTGTATTTATAAAAATATCTGATACATATTTTATATATTTATGTATAATTTTATATTTATTTAAAAAACATATTAAACTATAATCAATTATTTTTAAATGCTCATAAATCTCATCCATTTTTTCTTTTTTGTTTTAAAGTAATATATCTATAAGTTTTTTTAACTTTAAATGTATTTTTCTTTGCTTTTTTTTTGATGATTAGGAACTTTTTATATATTTTATCATTTATAATGATAAAAAAAAAAAATAATGAAGATAATTATTATATATTAACATTAAATTTGGGAAAATAAATATAATAATAAAAATACTTAATAGTAATATTGTAATGTTTTAAATTTATTATACTCATTATAAAAATATATTGATTTAGATACAATGAAGTTTTTACATGTAATAAAATATATTTAAAATTAATATAATAAAATATTATTTTTGAAATAGAAAAAAAAAAAAAAAAATTAAAATATCATTTTTAAAATAAAAAAGAAAAAAATATTATTATAAATATAATGAAAATTAGGAGAATAATAAAAATATTGAAATAAATAAAAATCAAGTTTTAATGGCATATATACAAAGAATACAATCTAAAGTCTCATTACCCATTTGAACACTACATAATCCTACAAAAATTTAAAGAAAAAAATAAAATAACTCTTATATAAATAGCAAAAAAAAAAAAATAATTTTTTTTTTTTTTTTTAATTTATATGTATGTATTATTTTATTAAGTGTTCTAATAATTAAAAGAAATATTTTTTTCTTCAGAAAAATTGGCAAATAAATACATTTTTGTGTGTGCATATTATCATTTTTCTTTTTTAATTTTATTATTATTATTTTTTTTTTTTTTTTTTTTAATTTCTTTAGTGTTTTTTCTTTTTATGTTATTTTTTAATTATTTCATTTTTTCTTTTTTTTTTTTTTTAATGAATAAATTGAAAACCATCTGAATTTTCATCCCATAAACAAACATTGGATGTAGTTAAAGGCGACCCATTTTTTTCCATTAATATGCATGTAGCTAAAATACAAGAAAAAAAATAGCTATTTAATTAGCTTAAAATTAAATCTAAAAAAATGTATTATATGTATACATATTCTTATTTCAAATTTAGAAAAATAATATATAGTACATTTTAATTATCTAAAGAATTTTATTTTAAGCTATCTTATTACTAAAGGAAAATGTCTATAATATTCTGTTTTAATTTATTAATATAATCTACCGTTAGTATTTAACACTTTGATTCATCTAATTTCTTTACATATTTTTAAGAAGAAATAATAACTGTTTAATAAACATAAAAAAAAAAAAAAAAAAAAAAAAAAAAAAAAAAAATTACCAATATATTTAAATGGCTTATTTAGTTTAGATAACTCCTTTAAAGTTGTATCTAAAATTTGTGATACCCAGAAATTTGTTTTTTCTTCATTATAGTGCATTTTTTCAAGAAATTGAGAAATAGTCTTTTATATATTTTATTTTTAAAAGGTTAAAAATATTTAAGAAAATAATAATTTATTAAAAGAATGCTTAAATATATCTTTATATTAAAGAATATTCAATATATTAGTTTAAAAAAAATTACTTGTTTTCCTATTTCTTCCATTTGTTCAATATCAAATTCTTCCTATAAACATATTTATTGTTTAAAAGGTTTTTAAAATTTACATGAAAAAATAAATAGAATAAAAAAACGTAGTTATATCTTAAAATAAAAAACTGTGTCACAAATTACCTCAAATTTGTCTGTGTCATTCATGATTTCAGCTTATTTTTTCTAATATCACTTATTTTGTTAAAGAAATAAATAAAAATTATTTGATTATATAAAATTAAACAATTTATTACAATAAATATAGGGAAATTTCAATGTATTCTTTTAATTTTATTCATTTATATTCTTTTTTTAATATGTTTAATTAATATATGTTCTTTTTAACTACATATTATTTTATATATGCAATATTTTCTAATAAAATGCATTTCGATTTCTTTTTATATTATGTAATAACTTATTTTCTATAAATAAAATTTAATTCATAGTATATTTTAATATATATGTTTTTTTTTTTTTTATATTCTTTATAAAAAAAAATATTAATAACATAATATATTTATGTATATTAAAAAAAAGAAAAAGAAAAAATAAGTTTTAATTATTAGGAAGTGTTCATTATACAAAATTTATCTCATTACAATATATTTAATTTAAATGACTTAAATAAATTTAAAATTATTATCTGCAAAATTTAATGTATCATCTTTTAATTTTATATTTTTAAAAAATAATAGTCACATTTTATTTATTAAAGGATTTTTCCTTATTTTTTCTATTTTCCTTTTCATTGTAAAAAATTATTCATTTTTACTTTTATTGTGAATTATAAAAAAAAAAAAAAAGGAATTGAATGAATATGCACACATTTATCCAAAGGTTTAAAACGTGTGTATATTTTAATTAATCATGAATAAAACTAAAAAAAAAAATAAAATATATCTACTTCAGAACTCAATATCATATGTCTAATATCCTTTTAAGTTATATTCATTAATATTTGTAACAATTGATTAAATGGAATTATTTTTTTTTTTTGAAAAAATGTTACTAAGAAATTGTATATATTAATATGACTCTATAATATGAATTTTGAAAACAAAAAACTCATTGATTGTAATATTAATATTTAGTTGAAAAAGTAAATTAACTAGATTAATATACAAAAATCAAAAATTAATAATTCAAGCATTCCTTTGGAAATTTTTTTTCCTTATTTAAAATAAATTGATATTTATTCAACATTTCTATTTAATTTTTTTATTCCTTTTTTTTTTTTATTTTATTTTATTTTATTTTATTTTTTTTTTTTTTTTTTGATCTCTCATCCTGATAGGATGAAATTCATTTTTGTTTAAAAATATATATATATATATATATGTATAACATATATATTGAATAAAAAAAAAAAAAAAAAAATGAAAAAGAATTTATATTTTTTTTAAAAAATTATGTTTATAGTTATAATTTATAGTTTTTGATTATTTTTTAAAAAAATACATTTTAGCTATACATATGAATAATGATAGATATTCCAAGTCTCATTTAAAAGCATTTAAAAACAACTTAATTATTTTTTAATGATTATTTAAATATAATATTTTTTTATATCATTTCATTACAATTTTAAACATTTTACTTTAAAAAAAATATTAAAATTATTTCATAAAATAGATTTATATTCTTACTTTAATGAAATCATTTATATGAACCTATATATATACATATATGCATATAAGGGATATATACATATACTAATAGAAGAATTTTTTTTTTTTTTTTTTACATTAATTTTACAACTTTCATTATTCAACTACTTCATTATTTTAAGTATTGAGTTGATTACTATAAATATATATATATATATATATATTTAAATTTTATGAACGATTTTTTTTTTTAACTTTTTTTTTTTTATTTTCGTAATTTATATATATTAATTTCCCTTAAAAATTTTAACATAAACCAACTTTTTTATGTTATAATCATACAAGATATTATTTTTGTTGATACTAAAAATAAGATAAAATAAATATTTTTATTATTTATTTCCACTTTTTGAGTAGCTTAAATAGGCACATTATTATATTTACCTTTTATTTCTTTTGTTATCCATATTTATACATCTATATTATCCTTTTAAGCTTAAAAATTTAAAACAGAGTGATAAATTATAAAATTAGTAAAAAATCTTAAACTAGTCATACCGAAAAAGACAAGAAAAAAAAGAAATTAATAAAAAGTAAACAAAACTATATCAAAAAAATGTCTACAATTAGATGGGTAGATCTATTATCAAGCGAATCAAGTAATAAAAAAAAACATAAAATAAAGTAAAATAACGTATTTATTCATTTAATTTGATTGTAATATTTAATTTATATTATTTGTATTTACACTTAATTTTTTTTTTTTTTTTATTATAACATAAATAGAATTTAAAGTTTTTTTACTAAAATAAAACTTTATAAAATCAATAAAAATATATAATTTTTTAAACTCCTTTTTTATATATTCCTATAAATTTTTCTCCATTCTTTTTTATTTACTCTTATAAATTTTATCCATTTTTCATTTTTTTTTTAGATTTTTCACATTCTATAACTAACAATGATGACATCAATGAAAAACTAAAAAAAAAAAAAATAAGTACCAAAAAAAATGATTTAAATAATAGTTTCATAAATTCTTATAATGGTGATTTAGATAATAGTAATGTAGGTATAAATTTAAAAATAAAAAATATGTGTATAACAGATAACAAGGATAAAAAAGGAGAATTTGTTGATCCCCAAACAAATAAAAATGATAATTTAAATGAAATAATTAATAAAAATGAAAAAGAAAGTAAAGAAAAAGAACACAAAGATGACAAACAAATTAACATTGATCAATTATTAAATAAAGATGCTAATATGAATGATCATGAATTAGACAAAAAAATAAAATGCGAAACAAACGATGAAAAAAATGAAGAAATAATTAGTGATAGCATTAATTCTAATAAAATAAATAAAGAAATAAATGAACAAATAAACGAGGAAAAAGAAAATAAAGATCTTAGTGGTTATAATAATAAAGATTCAAACATTGTTTCTGAAGATAAAAGTATTAATAATTCTAATTTTAGTAATAAAATGTGTAAAAAAAAAAATTCTAATTCATCTGATTGTAAAATGAACAAAAATAAAAAAATTACAAATGTTCCTTTAGATAAAAAAATAATAAAAAATTCTTTCTTTTCTAAATATATTTTAGAAAAAAAAGAAAAGAAAAATGAAAGTAACAAAATGGATGAAACAAATTCAATTACTACTCCAAAAAATGTACATGAAAATAAAGTTTCTGAAGAAAGTTCAAAGAACTGTAATTTAATTAATAATGTAGAAAATCAAAATTCAGATACTATCACTAAATGCAAAAAAAGAAAAGATAGAAATTTAAATATTGACAATAGTATTTCTAAATATGATTATACACAATCATGTGAGGTAACACTTGATGAAAATAATATTCCATTAAATCCAACAAAAAAAGTAAAAAATAGATTAAAAGAAATAAGAGAAAATGCAAATGATAATAAAAAAAATAGAAACGATGATAATATTTCTAGCAACCCAAATAAAAAGAATGAAACGAAAACAAATTTAAAAGGGTTAAATCTCAATAAAAAGATAATTTTTAAAGAAGAAAATAGTAGTAATGATCAATTTAAGAAAATAGATAAAAGTAATAATGTTATAGATCCTTTTAATAATATGATTAATAAAAATATAAATTTAGAAAAATTTAATAATTTCAATAATAATTTTATTAGTTATTTAGGAGATATAAGAAATAATTTTAATGAAGTGTTAAATAATGTAAATAGCAATAGAGTAAGTAGTCGTTTAAAAGAAATAGCAGTAGGTAAATCAACAAAAGAATATAAGAATTACGTTAAGCTTGTAAGATATGATGAAAGAATGGAAGATGATCCAAGCACACCCAATGCATATGAAAATATAACTAATGCAAAATTTCAAGCAAAATATAATTTATGGAGAAAGAAATTGCATAAATTTGATACAATAAATTAAAAAGAAAATTTAAATATAATAATTATAGGTGTACATGTATGAATAAAACTCAAGAATCACGAAACAAATAGAAATTCACACTTATAGAAAAAAAAAAAAAAAAAAAAAAATTATTACTGAATATATTTAACATTCCTAAAAAATATATTTTTTATTATGCTTATCTTAAAAATGCCTTTTAATATATTTATTTGAACACTTATTTTTGTCTTATTTTATTTTTTTTACAAAAATTAAGTTCACTAGTATATTTCTGTAATTGTTATCGATAAGCTGTGTATCTAATTCCTTTTTTTTTTTTTTTTTTTTTTTTTTGTATATACTTCATTTTAATATTTATACAACTGTTATTTTACTTAACATTTATTATCTTTTCAATTAATATATGGTATAAAAAAATGCTTATATATTATGTAATTCCTATAAACTTTTTTTTTTTTTTTTTTTTTTTTTTTTTTGTATATACTTCATTTTAATATTTATACAACTGTTATTTTACTTAACATTTATTATCTTTTCAATTAATATATGGTATAAAAAAATGCTTATATATTATGTAATTCCTATAAACTTTTTTTTTTTTTTTTTTTTTTTTTTTTTTTTTTTTTTTTGCCTATACCTGTTTATATCTAAAGATATAAAGTAAAAAAGTTATAATAAAAATTTATACACACATATCACTATGTGCATAGGTTTAAAAAAAAAAAGAAAAAAAAATTGCAACATTGCTTTACTAAAATATAAATATATTGGTAATTTTTTTAAAATGTCTAAAATATTTTTCATGGTATATTTTAGTCTTTTTATTTTTTCGCGAAGATTAATGTAAATTTTGATTTAAGAAAAAAAATATAAATAATTTATTAGAAAGAGCAAATTATTTAAAAAATTAAAGGTATATTATCAATTCATGTCAAGACTCAATTTTATTTCTTATTGTTTATATAGGAATAACGAAACAAATGACACTTATTTAAACTTTTGCAAATTAGTATTCAAAATGTATATATATATATATAATTAAAGATAATAATAAAAAGTTAAAATTATGAAAAAAAATTACTGAAAAATATGTGTTTATAAACAAATGTATATACAAAAAACTTTATTTTAATTTTTTCCTCTACTTTTTATTTTTTTTACATTTTATTATTATTTTTTTTTTTTTTTAACAAAAATGTACTTTTTTCTTAAGAGAAATATATAGGAGGGTATTTTTTAACAAATTCATTTGAATTATTTTCAATATCAGATGGTCCAAAGCATTTAAAATTAAAAATAGAATTTTCATCAATTTCCATTATACTAGCTAAATTTCCACAACGATAGCAATAATTAGGTGCTGACCATACAGTCACCAATTTTCTATTAAACCACCATTTATAGCCTTCCATAACTAATTGGTGAGCTCTAGCTATTATCTCAATATTATTAACATGACAAAATTTATGAACTGTGTCAGGTCCAAATAAATATCCTGCTCCTCTTGGACTTTTGTCCCATCCATTTTTATCTGATGGATCTGACCACATAATATCACATAACGACCCACTTCTAGGAATTTCTTGAAATCTTTTTATTTTTTTTAATTCATCAATTTTATCAAAATATGGTGATAGTCCACCGTGTATACAAAAATAATTATTTTCAATTAATGCTCCAATTGACAAATAATCAAAAACTTCTGTGCAATATTTCCATACATTAATTGATCCATACTTTTTTATGCATTCGTCATAAAAACCATACACTTCAGTAATTTGTCTGCTTTCATGATTTCCTCTTATTAATGTTATTTGATCAGGGTACCTTATTTTTAATGCTAGTAATAATAAAAATGTTTCAATACTATATTTTCCTCTATCTACATAATCTCCTAAGAATATATAGTTCACTTCTGGTAATTCATTACCTATATTAAATAATTCTTTCAAATCATGAAACTGCCCATGTATATCCCCACATATTATAACTGGTAAATCTACATATCTAATATTTTCTTCCTTTATTAATAAAGCTTTTGCTTCGTTACATAAAATTTTCACTTCTTTTTCTCCTAACAACTGACACTTCTTTAAAATTTCTATTTGTTTTTCTAAGTCTTTAGTGTTCATTATTTCCCTTTTTTAAAAGGGGAATAATATATTTTGTAAATGTAAAAAAGAGAAAAAAGTTTCCTTATTTTTCTAAAATAATAATGAAAAACTATAATAAATGAAAAACAAATTTTAATACTATACCAATTATAAAAATATGTCATATATATTTATACATATATATAAATAATTTCTTTTTCTGTCTAAAAATAAAAATCTATGCAACGAGAAAGTAGATATATTTTTCATCTATTATTTTAATTATATAAATAAATGTAAAACCATTACATATAACATTTTAATGACAAAATTAAATTAATAAATAAAATTTATTTTCACATATTCCATAAATATTATTTTAAATTTAAAACAATTAGGATTTTAATTCGTTTCACACAGAAAAAAAAAAAGATGAAAAAAAAATGAAACGGAATAAAGAGAAAAAAATAAATAATTTAATATATATCACTAAAAGAAAAAGATCCAATATGTAATAATTAATTTTATTATGTAATATAAAAAAAAAAAAAAAAATAATAATACCTTTATTTTATTTTTCTGTTAATAAAATTAATGAATTATTCCTCTAATACTTACATAAATGAGAGTTATAAATCCTGTGAAGTTCCTTTTCGATAATTTTCAGTTACAAAAGAAAGTTTAAATTATGAGTACTGAAAATTATAAAAATCACTTATTAGAAATGGAAAAAGTATATTTTATGAAAAATCATTATATCAGCATTACACATGTAAATAAGAAAATTTTTTATTAAATATACGTCTAATTGTTTTCATTTTTTTCTACTCATTTTTAGATGAATTAAACAATGAACTAAAATGTATATAAACTTTTAAGTGATTCATAGATTATTAATAATTAGTTTTTATATATACTATAAAAATATATTTTATTTTTTTAAAAGTTTAATTAATTTAACTTTAAATATAAATAATATATACTAAAGAATTTATTAATTTTAATAAAAATATTTTTACAGAAATCAGTGAATTTTTTTTTTTTTTTTTTTTTTTTTTCTGTTCATTTGATCAT